TTCCTTAGCACTGATTCTAGGTACTGCCAACTCATTCTATCAAAAGCACTTGCCATGTCAAGTTTGATTATGATATTTCCCCCCTCAACCTTGCGTTCCAGTTGATGAGCCATCTCTTGGGCCAAGAGGATTTGGTCATCAATGGATTTCCCTTTTTGAAAACCAGCTTGTTCCGGACCAATCACTTTATGCAGTAATGTGCCAAGTCGATTGGCTAGAATACGAGTGTTAATCTTGCTCATGAAGGTAGACAGGGAAATAGGTCTATAGTCTTTCCATTTAACTGGATTGTCACCTTTAGGGACCAGAGTTATGAGGGTACTTCCATACGAAGCAGGGATTTTGATTCCCAGGAAAAATTCCTGGCATGCCCTAAGCAGATCCACTTTGATTATGTTCCAGCATTCTTTGAAGAATCTTCCTTTAAACCCATCCGGACCAGCTGCAGCATCTGGATTAAGGGACCATATTGCTTCCTTAACTTCCTCTACTTCAGGTAGCCTCCTCATAAAATTGTTGTCTTGTTCTGTGATGGTGGTGGGAATGTATGTGGTAATACTTTCTGGATTTGAAATGGCATGATCAGCAAAGAGATTGGTGAAGTGTTCTACTGCCAGGTTACCAATTTGATCTTCATTGTCATGATTGATCCCCATGTCATCCTTTATGGTGGATATTTTAAGTTTTGCTCTCCTCCCTTTGACATATGAATGGAAGAATTTCGTGTTGGAGTCCCCCTCTTTCAGCCAAGAGATGTTGGCCTTTTGTTCCCAGAAAATTCTTTCCACATTACAAGCCTGGAGGAGTTTAGCAGCAGCAAGATTTGATTCACATCTCAGTTCTTCCATGGGATCCTCCTCATATCTGACTTGTTTTTCAGCAGCCACTTGTTCAGCTTTTTTAACATTAAGGAAAATGTCTCCAAAGATCTCCTTATTCCATTCCCTTATTATTGGTTTGACATTAAGGAAAATGTCTCCAAAGCCCATCATACCACTTACATTACTGCTGTTATGCCAATACTTCTTGATCATGGGCAGGAATTCTTTGTGGGTTAGCCAAGCATTGATGAATCTGAAATTTTTTGGGCCATCAAACTTGGGATTTGAGCATTTAAGGAAGATTGGCTTATGATCTGAGCCACTTTTGCTTAAATGAGTAAGTGTCACCTCCTCATAAGCTTCCAAGACTCTAGGATTAACCACAATTCTATCTAGCCTGCGCCAAACCATTCCTTGCGTTCTACGCCCATTCCAAGTGTACAGACCACCACTTGGAGTGATGTTGCTAAGCTCACAGATTTGAAGAGCCTGAGAGAAGTCCTCTATCCCCTTAGAGCTGGGGGGGATTCTCCCTTTGTGTTCAGTCATAGATGCCACCACGTTGAAATCTCCACCAACAAACCATGGAAGGCCCTTAGGCATGTGAGACCTCATTGATGCCCAGAGTTCTTCCCTTTCTCCTTCAGTATGTTTCCCGTATACAGTAGAGATCATGAACTTTGTATTTGTGCTTGTGTCACTGAATAAAATACTAACAATTTGATCACCCTGTATTTGTGCCTCACAAAGGAGGTTACTATCATTCCAAAAAAGCCAGACTTTGTTCTTTAGCGCACTAGAGTGGCAGTTGAAACCAAGCTTAGTGGCATACAAATTTATTTTATCTTCTTTTACAAAAGGTTCTAAAACGGCAAGGAAATTAACCCGGTGAGATCGAGTGAGAGAGTGAAGCCTGGGTAATGAGCTTCGAACTCCCCTGATGTTCCAGAATAATAGGTTCATGGATCACCCATGTTAAGGGGATCTAGAGCTGCTTTCATGCCCCTAGTCTGGCATGAGAGTGGAATGACATTAGCTTTAGCACTTCCTCCTCTAGAGATGATATGTGC